AAGCTGTATTAAAACAAAACAAAAGAGTAATCAGTCAACAGAAACAGTGTGCTAGAACGCAGTTAACAACACCAGACAATGAGCAAACTGAACTGAGATGTAAACAACACTGGTCCAGAAGCACTTCCTGTTTCAGTTTTAACACTAACGTTACATAAAAGCTGGGATAAAATACAACCAACAGAACATATAAAACTGAATTAAAAAGTTAAACAAACATCTTTAAGATGTTTTCTTTACATGTGAAATAAAGAAAACAGTTACAACCGGAAACAGGAAGTGCTTCTGGACCAGTGTTGTTAACATCTTGTGAAATGGTCTATTTACAGACTGAAGAGGGAGCAGGTGTGTGAAATCAATAGCCATGACAGCCAATGAAAATATACTTGGTAACCAAGAAACACGGGCAATAACGAGAAATTAAACAACTGAACGTGGCTGAAGTTTACTGACAATAATATATGTTAATAATAATTTATTCTATATAACACATTTGTAATGATAAAGTTGCAATTTAATGCAGTCTAATTATTAGTTATGTAAAAACCAGACTTCTTTCTCGCTGATAAAGCTCATTTACACTGACTCTGAATCATTTTACTATAGTGCATGAGCCACTCACCACATAGAAAACAGCAAATGTGAGAACAAGTGACTGACTTCAGCTGCATCTAATTATAATGTAGGGGGCGGAGCTTCAGATTCAAGAGAGCATTTGATTGGACAGAAAATCTGACGAGAAGCTGAAGTGCAGTGATGTCATCAAAACCATTGATCAATATTGGCGGAAGTGAGAGACTGTTAGTTTTGAACTGTCATTATTTTGTAGATAACAGAAAGGCTAACCTATTCATCCTAAAAGCCATTACGACTTCAATGTTGAATTCATGGGGACTTCAACATCAAATACCAGTACAGTTAAAATCAAGTATGTGCTTTTAGTATGTTAGCCAACACATCAAAATAAGTGTACATTAAAGCACGACAAAAGATTATTAAAACATGATGATTTAAATTGTAGCTACTTTTACTCTTTTATTTGACTATTGCAGTGCACTTTTTTAAGTGTACTTAAGTGTGTACTTAAATCATAAAAAGTGCACTCTCTTTAAGTACACTTAATTGCATGAAATGTTATATGCAAGTAAAAATGCTCTAAAAGTGCATATTCAATTCAACTAAGCACACTTCTTTTCACAAGGTTATGCTTTTCTCATTGTAAAAATGAGGCTACACATTAATACCAGAAACTCTGTCAAATAATGGTATTTTTTAGGGCTGTCAAACGATTAATCGCGATTAATCGCATCCAAAATAAAAGTTTGTGTTTACATAATATTATGTGGGTGCACTGTGTATAATTATATATATATATATATATATATAAAAATATAAAAATACTATAAATACACACACATGCTTGTATATATTTAAGAGATTTATTAAGAGATAGATTTATATATAATTTATATTATATATAAATATAAATATTTTATATATAAATAATATATTTTTCTTAAATACACAAGCATGTGTGTGTATTTATATATATATGCAAAATAATAATACACAGTGCACCCACATAATATTATGTAAACACAAACTTTTATTTTGGATGCGATTAATCGCGATTAATCGGTTGAGAGCCCTACAATAAGCATAACTCATGTGTCCTTGTTTTGAGAACAGCAGGTAATTACAATTCTACCACCTGGTTTCTAAAACCCGAACTAATCCTAACATGTTCGAAACGATTGCTGATGGCATAACCGGTGCCAAAAAAATGAATCTGTGATCTGTTCACACACTCACAGTCAAACCGAACTTTATTCAGACACCTTCAACATGGTGTCTGAATAAAGTTTGAACAGTGTTGGGTAAGTTACTCTAAAAAAGTAATTAATTACTAGTTACTAATTACCTCTTCGACAGTGTAATTAGATTACTGTACTAATTACTTTTAATTACTAATTACTTTCAAAATCCCAAATCAATCTCAACCAGCTGAATAATACAAGAATAGACATGAATCTGTTTTAATTCTTTCAAATAAATACTATAAAATTGCATGAATTATCCTTAAACTGACCAAAGTGGAGAAGGTTACATACTTTTTAGCATCAGACAATACATTTTGATGTTAATCCCACTATTGTTTTATGTCTGATATCATGACATTTCACACTTTTTTCATACACATTTTACAATAATTCATACGAATTTGTACGAGTGCGGTCGTAATATTTAGATTCCTCATAAAATGCATACGAATCGCTGTGAGATCGGATTGATCTATACACAGTATTTACCTCAATTACATCAGAAGTAACTGTAATTAAATTACAGATAAATGAAGAGTAATCCCTTACTTTACATTTTCAAGGGAAAAGTAATTAAATTACAGTAACTAATTACTTAGTAATTAGTTACACCCAACACTGGTTGAATAATGAACCAAAGTTTGACGGTACCTTAGGGGCGTGTAGACGGGGTGTGTAAGAGTAGTAGTAAACTCACACAGGACGAGTGTTGCAGAGAGAGAAGGGGCGAGAGACAGTCAGTCCACAGTTCTCCAGCCATCGCTCTGAGCTCTCGTACACTTCACTGCGATCCTGCAACAACATCTTCATCACTTCATACACCAGTGATGCTAGTGATTAGGGTAATAACTGAATGAAGTCACCAGTACATCTGAAGTTTGGTTTAGTCTGAAGATGGTGGACTGATCACTCGTCTCCATGTGAGACTCACTGCCCTCTGTCCTAAAGACCATTTCAACAAGACAGGGGAAAATGACTCGTTATAATCTGCATATCAAGCACAGATGAACATAGAAACTGGATCTGTTGTATGCGTTCACCACTCGAGGGGTCCTGTCGTCTTCTGCTCCATACGGAGATAGTCTAGTCATTGAAGAATTCTGAGAAAAAAAAAGAAAAAAAAGAATAACTAATGTTTTCTCCAGCATCAAATCATCATATTAAAGTGATTTCTGAAGGATCATGTGACACTGAAGACTGGAGTAATGATGCTGAAAAATCCAGCTTTTGATCACAGCAATAGGCTAATTTGCATTATAAATAGAAAACAGTTATTTTGAATTTGAATAATTCACAATTTTACAGTATGTTTAAAAAATAAATACATAAAAAATCTACCAGACCCCAACCGTGTGAACAATATTGTGTTCGTTCTTATATTATGTTTTTTAAAGTGCCTTGAGCACTGGCTCAAAGCATTATTATTTTTATTAGTATTAGCAACAGTTTTATCACGACGCTAATATCTCCATCTCATGCATTTTAATAGGCCTACGATGTTAATTAAAGTAAAGATAGATCCTGAAAGGAGATAACTGTCTCATGATTTTACCGTAGCAACAACGACCCAAGCATGCAGTAATGGTTTTCAGCCGGAAAAATCATGGAGAGCTTATTAATAATGTTTACCTTCACGTCATGAGTTTGTCCTGAAGCTCGTGCGCGTACAGTATTAATATGATCCTCGCGCAGAAATCAGAAGACGTCCTTGTGCGGTTGAAACTCTTCAGTGACTGACAGCTGCTGTGTTAGGCGTCTCCATAGCAACACACTGAGCCATTCAGTTGATTCACTGTTGATGATCAGTGCTACTATTATGGACATAAACGGATGGCACTTTTCACTGATGTTCAGTTTGCGAACGAGTCGTTCTTTTGAGTAAACTGTCTAAACCAGTTCACAAAAATTGACAGTATGCTTCTGTAAAATATCCGCATTTCACGCCATTATTAGGTGCTTTAATAATATAACTGTGCATGTGACATCATTGTGTGTTTGTTAATCGTTTTTTTTTTTTTTTTTTTGTACCGGTTAATTGAAACGAAATGTCTGAAATAACCACTCTAAATAGAGTTGTGTTATAAAAAAAAACAAAAACAAAAAAAAAAACAGGGCATGTGTTGATGGTATTTTGACACGTTGTGTATATTTTTTTTTAACACACAATGTGTGTTAAAATGTAATTGGATAGAATACAACCCGGGTGGAGGGAAGTTTGTGTTTATGAAAATAATTGGGTGGTATATTTTATATGGTATCCCATTACAAGCTCTAAAATAAATAAAACAATACATTACAATAAATGTTCATTTGAGGCCCTATCTGTATGCAAGTTTGCTTATTTTTTGATGTTAAACATAGGGATGTAAATGAAACAAATCATGATTAATATCATTCAGTTTTAATTTAACGACATTGAGAATTTAGTTTTAATTATATTTTATTAATAAATATTTATTAAAGTTTTTATTAATACTTTATATTAATTTATATATATATATATATATTAAAGTATTTGTAATTTTAAGCTTTTGTTATTTTTTTATTCGTTTTTTTTTTTTTTTTGTCTGGTTTTCTTTTTTTCCCCTCATTGATTGCAACGATGCAGTGGATGGTTGATAAGGTGTTGCTATGAGGCTGCTAGGGTGTTCATATTTAGTTATTAAAATCAATTTAAACTAAAACCCCTGGGATCTAACATAATATAGTATATGAGTGATGACTTATGAGTTAAATTAGACCAGGACCGGTCAGCCAACCTGAAACAGAGCACCCTTTAACATTGCAATCTCACATTTGAATTTAACAAACCTATTTCAATTTCCCAAACTCGCAAAAGTAAAAAATAAAAATAAATAAAGACGTTATATGATGGCAGTTCCTAAGAAAATAACCTTTTTAATAGGTTTGACTTAAATGTCACATACTGAAAAACCCGGGTCAATGAGCAAAGGGAGTCTGCAGTGAGAAGCTCAAAAAGGGTAGTGGGCTGATGCTTTAAATATTGCAAATATAAAACCATACATCCAACGCTTGCAAAAATTACTTTAAACGCAATTAGCCACAGACTCTTCATGCATGAAAAGTTTGCTGATTTTTCACCATAGGGACAGAAAGTAGAGCAATAGTTACAACTGGATTCCCAATAAAGCAATGATGAATTGAACTCAAGCGGTCGACCTTCTTTTATGCCTTTTATTGTATACAGTGAGATACTGAAACAAAGAGTAGCAGAGAAAACAGTTGTCTTGCCAGTAACATGAATGTGTTAACAGTAACTGTGCACAAGGACTGCTTACATCCTTTGATAGATAACACTGTTACTCATACATTTGTTTCCTTCCCTTTTGAAATCATAAATAGCTTTTCATTACCCTATATGTCATTGATGGTCATTACCCCATACTTTTTTTTTCTTTTTCCATTTTATAATGGGTTTCCAAAAATATCCAGAGCAGAAGCAGTCTTTAGCGCGGAGGTGATGGCGTCCACCGTCGTTCTCGCAGTTCACATTAATTTAGGTCCCAGTGCGATACGTCTTTTGCCAAAAGCAATTGTACACATCTTGCCTGAATGCAGGTGGGAGTTTATCTTAAAAACATTATCAATTCATCGATCCAAGAGTTTAAGTTCTTACCCCATATAGTTACGAGAACCGTCAAAAATTGGAATAAATATATCTCATCTGTTTACCATCCCTAAAATGAATGTGAATGTTTCCAAGGAAAGTGCAGTCTTTCGAAGCATTAATGAAATTAATTTAGTAAAGAATGTAAAGGCGACTGTGAGCATATGACCTTTCAATAATTGGATTGAACAGAAAAAGCACATTCAAATAAAACCGAAACACACACACACAGAGGGGAATTCATAAAAAAACAAACATTAACAACTTGTGGGCAAAATGTAACCTTCATATCACACATCCATCATAAATAAAACACAGTTCTGATTTCGTTCCACTGTAAAGACACTCTTACACGGTACATTTGTTTTCTGAAAATGGGGATCACTTCAAAAAAAAGAACAAAAAACAGGGTTGATGTAACAAGCACACATTCTTAAGCTCCTTTTATTCAGTGTCAGATAAATAAATCACAGCATTTTAATGAAACGTCCGTGATCAAGGCAGAACATAACTTACAGGGCACACATTTCGTCATGGTGAGGAAAACAAAAAAAAAATATCGCACAATAATGAGGTAAGGAGTTCGTTTGTGTAGTGCTTTACCTACTGAAATGGCTATACTGCACAGTGCTCCTCTGAAACTGAACTCATGCCCTTCGCATTCATTCAACACGAACAGGTTTATGGCACATTAGCAAATCAAACCAAAACAAGTAAAGGGCTCTGCAAATCCAGAGATGAAAACAAAGAAGAGATGAACAGGTATAAAGTCAAAGCACAAACACAATCCGCCTCTCGCCCCGTAGTCGAGCGAGGACTTTCTTTTGGTATGACGTCAGATTCAGAGAAATATCGGAGCGTGGTTTAACAGCGAGGCACAGCCTTGCAGGGTCCTGACCGGCAGTCCTGGAGCGCTTGCCTCGTATACTGCCAGAGCAAAAAAGTTCTTAATACTGTTCCCTTTACCGTTTTCCCTCTTTTGTAACAGTGCAGCGTCCTGGAGAGCTCTTGGGCCGCTAGAGAGAATGTGGGGAGTCCCCTCCCGTTGGACTGAGCGTCCGGCCCAATGTGTCTGTGCCCGCATTCTCCACCAATATTTGTATTTTTTTCCCACACAAAGGCAGAGGCCATACATGTGCGTGAAGCTCTACGAAACTTAAACGAACCAAAGATAACGGAACTATATCCCAAAGTAAAGTAGTAGTGGAAGCAGCCGCTGTGGATGCACTCAGTCCTTTCCAGGCGGGCCGGTGTACTTCAACGCCCCCAATCCTTTGGGTAGGTGCAACATAAAGACAGCACAGGTTTAACTAAGCACAGGTTGGGCGAAGGGGAGCATGTGGTTGGACGCACTCATTTGTAGTGCGCGCAGTAATCGTCTTATTAGTTTTGCAGTTTAATGAGTTATTATATCATATAACACCTTGCCTTGTCATCGCCCCTTCTCGATGAGTGCCGATTCTTTCCGTTTCACATTGAATACCCCAGCTGTCCCAGCTGGGACCGTCCCCTCAGCCAGGAAGACAGACTTTTCCCGCAAACAGGAGCCCCACTATTGTGAAGAAGATTGAGAGCACGAACAGTACATAAGAGGAGCCCACCACTGTGTTGTTGGGTAATTTGTACGGTTGTCCTCCTACTTCATTGATGTAGAATCCTATTGGGAATATGAGGGCGGCCATACAAAACAAGATCACTGTAAAATATACAAAAAGCAAGTGTTATTATCAGGACAAAAAGATGAATTTACAAATATAATAAGGACATATTAAGGTGGGGTGGTTAAAAAAAAAGCAGCAATCACAAGGGAAAAGACAACAATGGCTAAAATAGACAAATTTTTCCCATAGAACAATTCTCTAATTTTCCCATAGGAAAAATCAATATTTCCCCTAAAAACCACAGGGCATAATTCATCAAAGCAGTATGCCTAATTCACAACAATTTTATTCCCGGTAAAAATTAGGGAAGATGGTGAATGTCACAACGATTTCAGTGTTTTGTATTAAGCCTTCAAGTTTCCTAAAGACTCAATTCTTTCATGTTCCTTCTGTGTTTCAGGAATTGCAAGTGTAAGAACATTAAGAAATGTTAATTGTTTCTGATTTCATCTTCCTGCATTAACCGCACACGCATCTGTCAATGCAAGATGTGGTAAACACTTAAGCTTTTGTTAGAAATACTTATAATTATAAAGCATTCATATGGTTCAAACAACTTAGAGTGAACTGCTTCAGAAAGGTACATGAACTGTGTCTTCTACTATTTTCCATACATATTTCATATTTCTATATTTCCATTTGTTTGTCCTTAGACATTGGTTATTTACTTCTGTAAAGCGACATGACTAATCAATATTCAAATTCATTGTCGATTATTTTCACTATTGACAATAATCAATTTTATGGATTAGTTGTTGTAGCCCTAGTTTAATAGTAGATTAACAAAAATCCATTTGATTTTTTTTTTGAGGTTTGATTTAAAGATTACCAAAATCCACATTTTAAGACTGGCCAAAATATGTAGGAGGACAAAGCAAAAAACATTTTCACTAAAATCCACAGAGAGAAAAAACTAGTTAGGCGTAACACCATGTACTAATTAGGTGGTATACTATGAGTTTCCAACAAGAAGCAATTTGTCTCTCCACACTGAATGAAAGTGCTGTGAAATGTGATAGTTACATGAAAATTTGTACGGTTGGTGGTTGATCCCCTCCCCAAAAGTGGCTCTATGAATGATAAACTGGGGCTGGGTGATAAACCAGTTAAATTGATCACAATGATAAGCTCTGGACCTGATATGAATTACCCCAACAGTCCATCACACAGCAGAAATAAACACAGCAGCCAGTCGGTGTAGGGGAGCTGGCGAGGGAAACGACAGCAAAACCGATCCCTGGCTCCAAATAGGAGGAAATTGTTCAAAAAAAGGTAACAACGTCAATTATAAGGAACTGGTTCAGGTGAAATGGTGAAATGGACAAACAACCTTTTCCATCCCTGCGACAACACTGAGAGCATGAAAATGCGGTCCCTTTTTAATCTGTGTGGCACAATAAGTTCACATTTTGCACTTTTTACTCAAACTTCAACCTCTAGATGTAAAACCAATGCATAGTAGGGATTGGCATTCGATTAAACTTTCGTTCGTTGGGAGAATTAACGATCGACTATTGATTAATCATTCATATTTCTATATTAAAATTCATTATACATTAAAAATGCAATGTAAATACAAAAACATAGGATGTTTTTCCACAATGAGATCTTTATTAGAAGAAGATCAACTTGTGGCAGTTAAACTTGACGTTCGGCTAGGCTAAACTTGAAGATATATGTGCTACGGTGTTGTAAAGCAGCAGAACCTGCAGATGCGAGCCGGCCCTCATTTGTTCCAAAATAATAAATAACTTAACCAAAAACATAATAATACTTAGATCTGACAAGGTTTTGTCCAAATGTAACTCAAAACTATCCAAGGCACGAGTCGAGAAAGAGGGTGAGAGAAATTAGCCAACATAATTACTTGGGCTACTTAACGAAGCCTCATAAAAAAACTACAACTAGTGACTCACATACAACTTCTGCACCAATCAACTGATTTCTGCCACAGTGAAATTCATTGCACTGCTTCAAGACTCACACTACGCAACGCAACCAGGATTAGTTTAATCGTTAACAAATTAACGTGATCGACGAAATTCTTAATGATCAATTAGCAATTGTCGATTAATCATGCCCATCCCCATTGCATAGTTTATAACTTTATTTGATCTAACAGTGACCTTTTTTGACCCCTTATCTCTAACCTATTTTAATAAGTTGAAAGGCAACCTAACTGCTATTATTTTAAGGCATGTTAAAAGTTAACACTGTTATTCTATTTTTTTGTAAATTCCTATATTCTAAAATGTAATCAATGAACCCTCTTGGTTCAATATGGAAAACTATCAATAAGAGATTTTTTTTAATTATTTTGCATATCGCCCACCCAATGATAAACCCTGGCTAAACTCTCAACCGTACGGATGCTCGGCCCCTAATTAAAAAATAAATAACTAAATAAAAAAAAATAAAAAAACGAAGTCCTGTAATGTCTATTCCCAACCATCAACCCTCAAAAACCCTCTGGCCTGTCACGTTTAAAACAGACCTCCCCCTGACCGGAGTGATCACACTCAGCATGGGTTCATGTTGGCCTGGCAGAAAGGCTTTTAGCGAGATAAAAACAGACACTGCTAATAGATGCCTGAGTGCAGTCTCGGCTCAATCTTGGTGCTCATATAAGCAAGATAATGGCATCTTTCCGCAGAATGCAGCGCTGCAATTAAACACGCCGGCCCTGAGAGAAGAAGTGCACTGATCTGACTGAGGCTGTGCATGTCAGCATTAAGCTTCTGCCTTTGAACACTTACCGCATAAATCACTTTAGTCGGTCTCAGCTCTTAGACGCACACAAAGGAGTGGGTTAAGGAGATGAATGGTAACTAGGCTGTGGACAAAAGGTCATGCCCTCAGCAAAGATTAAAAAAAGACACTTCCTGCTGTGGTAAATGCCAAACTACTTTTCTGTTTAAAATAAGAATAACATGTTCCTTGAAAAGAGTTGAGGTGCTTTTTAGAGCACAATGAAGAAAAAACTAATTGAATGAATGGAGTGGAAATAGAAACATCTCTGCCCTGACACATTTATGCTGCCCTCAGACCTGTCTGAGAGTCTATTTCTGTTGGATGGATTGACGGATACAGAAATGCATTTGGAAAATCTACAATCTTAATGATTCATCGTTCGTATTCTAAGAGTACATTTACACGCCAACGATATGCTTAAAACTGAGAAGCTTTCCTTTGAGTTTATAGACCCTTTTACAGTTGGTAAACATGGTGATGTTTTTTTGTGGGCGGAGCTTAGGTGGAGGCAGAAAGATCCCTCTGGCCGCTTCACTAACGCTAGTTAGCAAGTATTGTTAGCTTGTTTTTTAACAATGACTGGAGAAAATAAGATATTATCTTAATGTGTAAGGTGACTCAGTGTCCAGGACCGCGATTGTTATTTTCAAAAGTTATTTTTAACGGACAGAACCAGATTGGCCAACCCGTAGCCGCCTACACGCTCACTCAATGCATGGACGATCTGACAGGATTAACGTACGTTACCTCGGTTGACTTCTACACCTACCTTATAGAAAACCCATCGTAAAGAGAAACTGAGGCATATAAATCTTTAGATGCCTATATGGTCCTGTACAAGACTTGTGTGTACGATCTGCAGTTCTGCCGAGCCAGCGCCGAGACCACGACAATGTAAAGAGTGTCATTACGGTGCGATTTTAATCATGTGAATATTTTCTAGAAATAAAAAATCCAGATACAGGATATTCATTTTTCATTGATACTTGCACCAAACAACACAATAAGATGACATAAAAGTAATTTAAGCTCCTTATTATGTAGCCGAATCTGTGCTGGTTTGCATTGGCCGCCTCGAGTTTTCACTTTGTTTTGCCTCCAGCTAGCGTTGTGACGTAACTGTGACGTCGGCGCAAAAGGGGTCTATATTGTCAAAATTATCCCCATTCACACGGATTGGGGAAAACGGCTAAAAATGCTAGATGGTATATGGTGATGAAACACTATAGACTTAACACAATATACGCGTACATGACGTCAGATATTCACGTTGTTGTTGTTTACACAGGCCGTTTTTAAAACTTACAATTTGAACCACGTTTTCCAAAGTTAGCGTTTTCAGGCGCTCAAAGCGCCGTTGTTGTGTTAACAAACGGCTAAAACGCATAAAGTTTTACGTTTTTAGTTGAAAACGGTGTCGTGTTAACAACCCCTAAGTGTTAGTTTTGAGCTATACTGTGTACATTTAACTCACACGTGAACAAAAAAATAACTTTTTTAGATGCGATACGCACAATTAGAAATTTTACCCGATAGCTAAACATTTTTTTTTTACATTACAGCCAATAACTGATTGAAATAATATACTATTCATATATAATTTTGCAAGTAATATATCATAATACACTCATACACAAAATACTTGGTGCCCCTAAGTATTAGTTTTGAGCTAACATACATGAACAAAAAAGAAAAGACTTTGTCACTACCAATAGCTGAACATTATTTTGGTTCATTAGTTAAAATTAATGTATTAACTTATTTATTAATCATTGTTAATGTTAGTTAATAATAATAGAAAAACAGCTGTTCATTGTTCAACATGACATCATTACTTTTGCGTAAACATACACGCCACTTTCGAGTCAGGTGGCGTGTTATCTCTACGCATTTTGAGCTATCCGCGTGTATGTCTACGCCATTAACGTCCGCGTCATTCCGCGTGTCTGTACACGCAGTCAAATCTCCAGTCATAAATGCCATTAACCCCAGTGACGGTTAAGTTTAGGAATGGGGTTGAGGTAAGTCATATATTTATATAACGTTAAGTCAACGGCGTTCATAAACACGCTGAAAGGTGACTATGCGTCTTGATAGCACGCCAAAAATGGAAATACGAATTGGCGTGGCATACACACGCTACTTCATGAGATCAGTCTGCATTGTTCATGTTAGTTCACAGTGCATTAACTACTGTTAACAAATACAACCTTTGATTTTAATAACGTAGCCTATTAGTAAATGTTGAAATTAATATTAACTAAGATAAATAAATGCTGAAGTA